ATGGGGCAGGGGGGACACGGGGCAGGTGGGACATGGGGCTGGTGGGACATGGGACACGGGGCAGGTGGGACACTGGGCAGGGGGACACAGGGCAGGTGGGACATAGGGAGGTGGCACACTGGGCAGGTGGGACATGGGGCTGGTGGGCCATGGGATCACTCTGAAGGGGTCCAGATGGGTCTGGAAAGTGTCCAGAGAAGGAGCCTCCACAGCCTCTCTGGGCAGCCTGGCCCAGGGCTCTGCCACCCTCCCAGGCAACAAGTTCCTCCTCATGTTGATGTGGAACCTCCTGTGCTCAGTGTTCCCAGCCCCCCAGCTGCAGCACTTGCTGCTGGCTAAGGGAGAGCCAACTGAAGGGGAAAACAAAATCAGGAAAAGGAAAATTGGCTCCATCCTGGCTCAAAGCAGGACAAGTGTGTCCAGCTGAGGGCACGGGAGGGTCTCTGGCCATGCCCCTGGTGCTGCTGTGCTCAGTGACCAGACCTGGTGGCCAGAGCTGAGCAGGAGGGCAGAGCCTCATCAAAAAGAACAAACTGCCAGATGAGCAGGAGCTCTAACTCGGGTCCTTTCCAGGGTGTTTGGAGAGTCTGCAGCTGCTGGGGGTGTTTCCTCAGCAAGTCCAGTCTGATCTGGGCCCAGGAGCAAGGAGACCTTGTCTCTCTTCACAGGAAATATGCATTGAGAAGGCTCCAGGAGAGAAGTTGGGCATCAGCATCCGTGGTGGAGCCAAGGGCCACGCTGGGAACCCCTTTGATCCCACTGATGAAGGCATCTTCATCTCCAAGGTACCAGAGCCCTGCCTGCAGCCTGGGGCCTGCAGGGGCTGCCAGGGAGGAGGGTGACTGACACACAGCAGAGCTTTGTGCTCTGCCTCCCCTTTGGGTGTCTGATTCATTCCTTCTCCTTAGCTCTTTTGATGTGCATTTCCATTGAGTCCCTTAATTGTAATTTTAAAAAGCCCAACAAGTTGTAACCTGATTCTTCCTTTCAAAAACCTTCTCGATGAGGTGTTACAAGGTGGACACTATAAGGATATAAATTCTACCCACAACTTGATGTTCCTGGTCTGCCTCAGTGGGGCAGCTCAGTGTCCCTCCGTGGCAATAGCACAGGTGGCAGTTAGTGGCATTAAGTGGCATTAAGGACATTTTTCTACAGTAACTTCACCTCCTTCCATCATTCTGGGTGTTCTGCTGTCAGACTTGACCCCAACAATATGTGGTGTACAGGCTTCTTTCTCTTCTCTTTTTCTCCTCTTCTCCTTTCCTACTCCTCCTCCTCCTCTTCTCCTTTCTTCCTGCTCCTCCTTCTCTCCTTTCCTCCTCCTCTTCTCCTCCTTTCCTCCTCCTCTCCTCCTCCTTTCCTCCTCCTCTCCTCCTCCTCTCCTCCTCCTTTCCTCCTCCTCTCCTCCTCTCCTCCTCCTTTCCT